CGACATTATTGTTATTTTTTCGAATCTCTCTTTTTATTATTACTGTTACTGTTATTATTGGCACAAGCAAGTTACTAATGTTGCATCTATCTTTCTTGAATTGTCAGCGAAAGAACAAAGAGGTTATGCAATTAAAAAAACAAATCGGATGGTGATATAGGACTTAGATGACTGAGATGACACGACGTTTATATATCGAAATTATCATTCAATTAGGAGCGATTATATCTATATCAGATCTCGTCTCTTAATGTAGGGCGAACGGAGACATATCTACTATGTATACAAAGGTCAGCAACATGTTTTTTGTTATTTTCTCAACATTGCCCAACTCCATTGCGCATATTTTCGAACCGATTTTGAAATTTTTTAGTTAACTACTTGAATGTGATTGCTTTTAGCACTTGGAATAGTAGACATTATCTTATGGGTTAATCACCTTATGGAATACTGAATGTACTACATTCATTTACATCACCCGACGTAAAGTAATCAGCATTTTCGTTGCAGAGCTAGATTACCCACCGAAAATGAAACAGATTAGTAACTGCGGGGTTTGTGATAATATCTTGAAAGTAAGCCTACTAAAGTGTGAAGTTTGTGCCGTGATACATAACACTTGACAAATATTTCTACAATAACAACGTTACAATCAGCCTTTTTCATTGTCCTCTAATAATTACCGTTTTCACCTTTCTGTCAGTTATTATCGTAATAAACAGTCAGTCTGTTATCACCGTCGAATGGTACCTCTTGCGAATGTTCTTCTACCGTTCTGTGGCTCGATTGTTTGTTTCGACCGGGCACATCAACCTTACGCTAGGTATTTACTTAATATAAGTACATTTAAAAATGTATTCATTTGCAGATAATACCATTCCAAATATGTGCATTCAATAAGTAAGCCAACGGCCACGGAGCGACGATGCATAACAGATCCCCTGTGCAACTACTCGACCGGTTATGCGATGTGCTATGTCCTGTCCATGAGGGCGTGCCTCATCTCTCCTCGAAACGCATTCTGCGATCAAACGATCACTCATCACCTCATATCTTACTCTGATCTGTTCATCATATTTTTTCTGTACTGTTTCCAGATGTTAACATTTGCGAATGATTATCTCATTACTTTTTCCAATACTCATAAATCCTGCTACTTTGATATGTGACTGGCAATTGAGTATCCAAAAAAGAGTGTTCAGGCATCGGAAAGGGATAATGGAAGGGACAGAAATATTCGTTTCCTCTTAATATCTTGATTTTTTCGGAGTTGTTTACTTTGGTTTAACCTGAACAACGACCTAAGATGGAGTGTGACATTGACTGATCTTCAGAAACGTTCTTTCTTTCAATTTTGCATGATTCTGCAAACAATCTAACAGCTACTATCTTTTCATTACATTGATTGCCCGTTTGCATTGTCTTCTTGTTTCCTACGATTGTTCGATAGAAGATCGTCGCCATCAATGAGTTATTATAGTCAGCAAATATCCACTACATGTTATATCCTCGACCATTTCACCCACTTCGCAATTAATCTACTCCACGAAAAAAGTCACTATCAATTTCCAATGTTTAA